TTTATGTCCTCCCTCTAACATTGTAACGAGATGCGCCGTGTCAATCGGCATTGCGGTATATCGCGATCGTTTACTCTAACGACCGCGTCGATTGTTGCGTGTATCGCGATTTAAGCGGCGCGTGCCGATGCCGTCAGATTTTATCGTCTGCGTCACCAAGAGAACGTTTCATCGTGAGATATCGGAGCAAAGATACAGATAAAGACGACGGAAGCGCGATACATGTGCTGTATACATCGATGGAGAGAGAGAGAGAGAGAGAGAGAGATAGAGAGAGAGAAAAGAGAGAGAATACGCCGAAATCGACAGGTATATACGTGACGCAACAATTTTCGCAAGTGTCAAGTCCGATTTCGTTCGTTACCGAGGCCTGTAATCGCGCGAGTACCATCGCAGTTCCGCGATTAGCCGCTGAAAGAGGTCGGCAATAAGAACACCGTTTACTTAATTAATGCGGCCGATGGACGGATGGACGCGAGCCGTGCGGCCGTTGCGCGGCTCGTTGACCCCACGTGCAATTCTCTTGGACTTGGACCGTCCTTCGGTCGGATTGATTTACGCCGAGCTCGACGGCGCGGCTCGGCTCGGCTCGATGACGAAAAACGGCGGAGAACGAGAATAGAAGAAAGTGGTGGCGAGTTAGTGCGCCGATCCGGACCGCCTATTCGACTTTTTCCACTGACGGCGGCGGCGGTGACGGTGGGTCCGGTCCTCTTCTACTTGCGTTCGCGGCTGACCTCCCCGTGACCCGTTCTGCAATGCGTCAGCTGTTCTACGCGCCGCAATGCACGGTCTTCTACCGCCGCCGCCGCCACTGGCATGTATCTACAGTCCGTTCTCGCACGTTCTACATCCGTTCTCCGAGCTTCTCTCTCTCTCTCTCTCTCTCTCTCTCTCTCTCTCTCTCTCTCTCTCTCGTGCCGGATACATTAGATGTCATATATGCTCCGACATTCGCAAAATTTATTTTTCTAGAGATATTTATGGAGGAAACGCGCGTGCAATCACTGACAGCTATCGAACTTTGACATGTGTCATATCTCAAGTATAAGTATTAAATAATAAATAGAAGAATTATTCCATATCAAAAAGATTAGAGATATTGAAAATTATGGAATTTGCCGTTCACTGCAATTTAGGAAAATATCCGCCAAAGTTATTAGGGTTTGACTATTTAAAGCGGACTAATAATCGTTTTCGCTATATAGATCGATGACGTCAGGACGATATTTCTCTGAATATGCTCTCGTAAAAGCATATAGAACAGAGAAACAGAAACTAAAATCAATTTGAAACCTTGGATATATAGAGACTGTCTGACGAATCATCGATTAAAGTATCACTATCTGCGAAAACAGCGAAATTACATCGAGTAATTAGCCGTATGTATATTTTACATGCACTGTTTTCATCTATCCGTTTAACAACATGAGACGACAGATAGATATTACGAAATCTATCTTCCCAATTTTAATTCTATTTCAAATCATTTTATTCGATTCTGCATACTTTCGTAAGAGCGAGAAATTTTATTAGATTTTCTCGCTTCTGACGTCATTGATGCATATAATTCCATACATCGTATCACTCTGGTAGCGCAATGGTAATTTCCGCATGGAAAACAATCGACTTTAATTCGTTTGATGAAATTTTACGTAATGGTAGAAATTTATTGATGAGATAAAATTTTGAAAAAACTTTGATTTATCAATTTATTTCAAAAAGATGCTGTGCGACGAGATATTTGTTTGATCGTCATATAGTTTTCAAATACTATGTCGGTTACTTTTTTTCTGCTAACAAGTGGGATGAATATCTTTTGAGCACTGCCAAGTCGTGAGTGAGGTATTGTGTGCTATTATCGGATCCGTAACACTATTGATTTCGATAACAGCGAAATATCCGGGTGCAATGTATCGGAAATTGGGAAATAAATCTCTTATTGCGATTTATATTTCCGGAGTCATAAAAGAGGAAATATGTGATTTATTATCATTTAAAATTATTTAATTTTTATTATTACTCTCAAAGCTTAATTTCTGAATATATCATCATTTTTTATTACATTTTTAATTTGATCGTTGTTCAAATAAATCATTTTTGTTCTCTTATTTCAATGCTTTCGTTTCCAACAAAATTATTGCTCCATGGTTGCGAGCACTGCTTTGAATACGGTCACTGCAACGCGTTATAACAATTCGTTTTACGCTCGTTTTAATATGCATCACGCGTATTTTATGGTGCGTAGCATAGCACAAAGTGCGAAAACAAACGTCAAACTGGCAAAAATCGATGGGCCTTGTGCAAAAAGTTGATGGCGACTTTTGCCAGTTCTAACTGATTTAAATCATTCGTTATATTACCATATTTTGTCATATACGCAGTAACTATACTATTTTCTTGATCTATTGCGTGCGATATTGTTTATAACACATATTCATTTACATGGATTATTTTATGTTTGCAAATATATTAAAAAGATTTAAGATATCAACAAGATACGATGAAAAGCGTTACAAAGCGTAAACAAAAATTTTATAAGATGTAGCATATCTCGGAATCTATCTACACAAATTTTTATCGGAACGAGATTCTGATAATATTTAAAAAATTAAAAACTCCATTTTAATTTGAAGATCAACTATTGACGATTCATAAGGAATCGAAAGAATAAAGCTTTGAACCGGAATACAAATACCAAACAGCGAATTACATGAAATTACATGTAATAACAATGGATGAAAGAAATTTTATTTTCTTTAAAAAAGGAAAAGAAAATTTTAAATGTCGTTAATAATTGTAACAGAGATTATGCAATTGTCATCTATTTGATTTAATGTCGTTATAGCGCATGATAAATACTCGATAAGAGAAACGATAATATTTACAGATTATACGATAACTAAAAATGCGAGGTCAGATTGACACGCGAAGAGCCGGATTGTACTAATTGCCTTCAGCCCTTTCGCGATCAATACTTTTACATATAAAACTCTTATCGACATAAACTCTCCGATTTCATTTTTGCCCCAAATGTAAAAATGTAACCAATTTGTTTAATGAATGGAGAGCGGAGACTTGCCACAAATTCTATTTTATGAAAGTAGGTCTCGTCCAAAGACACTTCCCGGAAAGCGTCAACGTAACAAGTCGGCTATTGAACGACGGGGCTTTCGATTTTCGCATCGTGTGACACACTCAGCGAATATTGCGTTTTGCATATCTCGAGTGGTTGTCACCTAGCATTATCGACATGTTTCTTCTGGACGTACAACATTATCATAACAAGCGGATATTATAACATTATACCCGCCGCATGTAGTGCGTGTTACCTTGAGATGCATTCGATGTGAAAGTCGCGGAAAACTAATTCAATTTTTCTCATACTACATAGCTTTTACTCACTTTGCTTGATAAAATTAAATCTGGAACTATGCTGATGAAGCGAAGAAATTATAAGCGGAGATTGCCAAAAGATAGTAAATAACATAGAGTCTCCATTATTTATGATAAAGCCTGAATTATAAATCTGTCTCGTAGTTTTGTCTCCAATTGTCATTTATAGTTTGAAAAATAGCGTTATTAATTCTGGAAATTTGTATAGATTATACAAACTTGAATTTTTTGCTGCTTTATAAAATACTTTGATTTTGGTAGACTATAAACATTTTTAATTAAAACAATATTTTCTAAATTCATGTTTAAGAGCAAGAACATATCTAATAATTAATGTGACATGTCTAATTATGATTTTGGTAGATTTACATTAATAAAAAATAGATAAAATTAAATTGATCAATAATAAAACATTCTTTATGACATCGGAGAATTCGCGGACATGATTTAATATTAAATTCAGATATGATTTTCTTTCTTTACCTAACGTTAATAAATATTTAAGTGATAAACGCACATATAACTTTATCTAGAGAGATTTATAGGAATCATTAGATGTATTTTGGTTCATCAAAATCTACACGTATGTAACAATGGCCAGACAATTTGTTTTGTATAGAAACTAAAGCTACAAAGTAAAGAGAATAAGTTGAATGAAAATCCAGAGAAAAGGATTTAGCGTAGCGTATAGCCGCCGAGAACGTGAAGTTCATCGAGTGGCGAGGATTTTGAGAATGAATCAGCTGGAACAATGCTATAGGTCTATGTATATGCGTTCAGGGCTAAAGCAATATGAAAGTTGAGGTTGAGGTTGCGAAGCTTCTAGCTCTAAATATAGAATATACTTTTGTAGGGTCAAATCAATAGACATATGCTGCATATATGTATATTTGGGATGTCTAAATTCCACAGATTCTTATCCTCCTCAGACATGTCTAATATATATATATATATCTATAATACAGCCCATGTGCTTCTTTGCGGATAATGTAATCATGCAATCTTCGTAATTTGTCAAGTTAACGTTCCAATTTTGATGTGATGTGACCCCACAATCGTAGATTATTTTTGGCACGAATATGATTCTCCCCGCGAGTTCTCCATCTTCGATCGCCTCATGATATGTATGATCGAGGAGGTCAAGCACGAGGGATAGCTTTCGATTATGACTTACACAATTCGAATATTGACATATACATTTACATGATTATTCCACGCAATCAATCTAATCTACATTCTATTCATAGCGTTATTATTTATTGCACGATTAATGCAAGCAATCTATATCTGTCTCCAAAAAGTCAAACAGACCTTGTACTTAGTGCAACTATGAATCGCTAAATGATTCATATAACAGACGCGCACATGTGCTCGTCTACTTAAGACATAACATTATGCAACAAACAACTATCAAAAGTACAGGAACGTAACATTACACGTAATCCGGCTGTACCGCAAGTGTACATTTAAAATTTTTACCGTCGCAACTTACTTTTGGAAAATGAGTGTCGTTACGTTAGTAGATCGAAACATTGATGCGGGAACCGCTCTCGAAAGTAACATGGGAAAAGCTATAATTGACTTACGTATCATGTCCGTATCAGTTTCAGCGCATCTTATCTGCGGCAAGGTCGAGGACGCCGTGTTACAATCCGGTTGTCGGATGTGGTGCATGCAATTGGCGACTGCAGAAACGACAGCGGTAGCGTCATCAGCACCGGAGATAGCGGTCCGGAACACGTGCGATCTGGCAGGTGAAAAGGTATATTGCATGAGAAGGGGAGACTGCCGGTGATGGACAATGAGCAACCGCACCAGGAACTGGTCAAGTGCGTGGTCGTGGGTGACACGGCAGTCGGAAAGACCAGACTGATCTGCGCCAGGGCCTGCAACAAGCACGTGTCATTGTCGCAGCTCCTGACTACTCACGTGCCCACGGTCTGGGCTATCGACCAGTATCGGATCTACAAGGATGTGAGTTTGCGAAAAAAACCCCATGTAATAAGTGGTATAAATTATATTAGATAAAATAATTTGTGAAAAATCTATATTTAATATCGAGAGATATTTATAAAGTGATTTAATGCCAAAAAAATTTAGAAATTTCGCTAAGGCAAAAATATATTTATATTTAATTATCAAATTACAAATATAAATCTCTGTTATTAATTTTCTTAGAGATATGTAGTGATATTAAATATGATATATAATATGATGCGCGCCAGGTGTTGGAGCGATCTTGGGAGGTAGTAGACAACGTAAACGTGTCGCTACGTCTCTGGGACACATTTGGTGATCACGAGAAGGATCGACGTTTCGCATACGGCAGGTAAGATCATCGTCGAGCACAATTTCATGCGAATCGATATTAATCAAAAGAATTTTGCCAGATCTGACGTCGTGTTACTATGTTTCTCCATAACCAACCCCGTTTCCTTGCGAAACTGCAAGGTGATGTGGTACCCCGAGATAAGAAGGTTCTGCCCGCAAACTCCGGTCCTATTGGTCGGATGCAAAAACGATCTGCGGTACATGTATCGGGACGAGACTTATCTCAGTTACTTCCGCGATCGCAGTCCTTTTGTAAGGTAAATTATTTCCTTTAAAAAGTTTTAATTTAAAGAAAAAGAAATTATAAAATTAAAGAAAAAATGATATAATGGAAGTTATTTCAAGAAAAATATTTTACATTTCTTCAACATTTTAAAATGGAAAAATTTTTAATTTCCAAAACCTTTTTCACATCTTTAAAAATTATTTTTTTTTTTAATTTTTATTATTCTCCTTTGTGAGCATCGAGAATTACAAAATTTAATCCTTTGATATATGAAAGAACAATGATTTAGTTTTTATATTAGTTATTTTTTAAATTTAATCTCAAAAAGAGTAAATTCCAATATAAAAAATTGATTGCCCTATAAAATATAAAATATAAATTCTAAAAAATAATTTTTTAGAAACATGATACAAGCACGTGTACCATTTAGTTGTCTTAATCGATTAGTCGCTTTTTTGGCTACAAAACGAAATCCATGTTCAAAGCCAATTTTTTAGTCTCGTGTGAAACTCATTCAATCGCATCGGTGCTCCTTCAACGATGGGTTTACTGAATTGTACCAAAGTATTGATCTCAGCGAGTTCTCTTCGTAAGCTTCCTCGAAATCTTTTGCTGGCAAAAAATATTCATTATGATCAGCTTACGTGACATATATGAAATTTATCGCGGCATATGAAATTTATGATGGCACTGCGGTCGATTGTGAAAAGCTTAAAATTTCCGATAAGTCGTCGTGTAATCGAGTCGAGCCAAAATTAACCAAACCTTGACATACGGCGATTACTCCTTCGGGAGAAAGACTGAAAGTTTCTCATGACTTTTAACAAGTCTTCCTCTTGTATATATGCCTGTGGTCGGAATAATTTCGATAATCATCGTTTTTGTATCGTTTTATATGTTTTTGTTTTTATATCACGATTATAATTAATACGTAACTACAAATTTATGAAATGATGACAATTATTCACAGGGCTACAAGAAAGAGCGATTTGGTGATGCCAGATCAGGCACGGGCGGTAGCGCGAGAACTCGGTGTCTGCTATTACGAGACAAGCGTCTTCACTTATTACGGCGTGAACGAGGTATTCGAAAATTCAATACGCGCCGCTTTGATCGCACGTCGTCAGCAGCGTTTCTGGATGACGAACCTGAAGAGGGTGCAAAGACCTTTGTTACAGGTAATGGATATGATATATATAAATCAAGCATCTTTATTTTATAATAAATTTATCTTCAAAAAACACACAGAGATAAAAAATTCTTTCCCGCATTTTCATAATTTTAAAATTTTAAATTAGGAATTGCTTATTTCGGAGGTTAAATTTAATTAATGCTTGAGTCACGTTTTCTTCATCGACAATGACGAATTGTGTGATAATTTTGTTCAACAGGCACCATTCTGTCCGCCAAAACCAGTACCGCCAGAGGTATGCCTAGCTGCGAGTACATATGAGGAAAACATGAAAAGCCTGTGGACAAGACCAGTTCATACGGACGTGACTCTGATAGCTGGCAACTGCACGTTCTTGGCTCATCGGTGCTTGCTCGCCGCGGCGTCGCCGGCGTTTCATCGGTTATTCTCGATGGAACTCTCCCACGAATTGACACCGCGCAGCTCCAGCGAGTCCAGCATGGTATATGCCAGCTCTATCAGGTTCGGAGGTAGTAAACAAGATAACACAATAACACATGTTTCCCTTATTGTCTCGTTAAGGTGAGCACTTTTGGCGAGGCTACCGTCGGTGACTTCAACGACGATACCGAGTGCCTAATTCGTATCGATCAAAGCAAACCCGCAAAGTGAGTTGATCCTTCCTCGTATGTTTGATTCCTGCGTCAGTTAACCCTTTATTTGGCAAGTCGCAGCTAACACGTGACGAAACAAGTCTAATCTTGCGGCAAGTGTTGCAACTAACGCATTAACGCATTAAACGTTGCTTGAGCTTAACACTAACGATAAAAAAGATATGTGCCTAATCAACAAATGCTACCATAAAAATCTCACTAACATTATGCTTGAAAGCATTATTGCCAAATAAAGAGTTAAATGCAGCCCCCTTCCCTTAGCCTTTGCACGGTTTTTCAGTGTCGACATATTCCACATTATAAGTAGCGATGGAACAGAGTTTACGATATTTCCGTAATAAAAAGTTTGTATATTTCGTTTCGATGAAACACGAGCCCCTCGCACAAACGAGTAATATACGTTGCAGAGTTTGGGAACAGCTTAAGCGACGATCGAGTTTTCAAGTACTGCCGACGGTGGATAATCAGAGGAAGACTAACGGTGCGACGAGAGAACTGAATCATCCTGCCTTCCAAAATATTCGTATATGTCTGGTGAGAATCTTGATTGCGAGAACTTATGCGAAAAGTCAACTAATAACTATCACTTTGTCACGAACACTTTTTAGACTGAAAACGCGAATGGAGTGCAGCAGCCCATGACTGTGGTTACGCTGTCGAAGCTGATCACGCCACAGGCGATGCAGCAGTGCTTGCAATTCATTTACACGGGCAGCTTGGATAAACGGTATCACGATCTACAAGTACGTTGGATCAGTAGAAATTATCCTAACGATAAGAGAAAAAAAGGTACATTCGAGAATGTGAGAAGAACTTTCTTGTTCATTTTTGCTACAAAAGACGGTGCGCGTATAAAATAAGCACGTATTTTGAGAAAACGGAATAAAAATGTAATCTTCCGGATGTGAAAATTGAACTAAAACGTGATCTCTATCTCGTAGGCTTACGCAGATAGAATTCGACCGAATAATTTGCGCAAGCTCTCTCTTGCGCGCTTTTTGCTTACGTTATAGGTATATTAATTTTTGAAGACAAATATTATTTATGTGTGAATTTTTTGGTTTGGAATCATGAGAAAAATGGCGGTCAATTGCGAGTACTCCTGATATATCGTGTTTGTAATAAGTCATTGTACATGTATGAGCTTCTCTTAAGAGCGTGTGAGCTAAAATCGCAACTGTTGCAGAGTATACAGTAACTAACGCGGCTCTATTCTTTCAGACAGCTCCTATCGGGCTTCTACTGGTTAGTACAAAGCGTTTAAAATTGCGTTTGAAAATTTGACAGTCGCATCAGATACATATGTACACGTTACATGCGCACGCACGCACGCACATAGTGGCCTCATTCGACTTGAGAAAGACTTAATTGCGAGATCATATATCACATCATACGAGCATGCGCCTTTCTATAATTACGACTCTTCAATTATAAAACAAACTTGACGCATTACCGAAAATTAATCTCTCGTTTATAAGCAAAAAGTAAAGAATTAAATAAGAAAAAATTACATATATAATTACGGGATAAATAAATATCAAAGAGGCCGTCTGTAAAAATTGCTTATGTATCTCGAGAACTCGTTTATCTCTTGTGTTTTCCGTATAAATTTTGATTTGTTTAATAACAATTTCGTTGAAATTTGCATTGATCCTCGGCGTTTAGCTAATAGGCCATCCTCATTAAGCTTATAATTCGCGGATCATCGCTATCGTAGTATCGTACCGACCATCGCCCTCGACATCATCGAGCGGGCAGGATCCTCGAATCGACGTGCGATCGACTTTGGCCGATTATAGAGGTGCATGGATACGCTTCCGATTGTTATCACAGACATTCTAGAATCATTGCCTAATAGGATAGGTTCCACTAGCGACCCGAAAGTGAGATCAGATATCGTATCTTTTTTTTTTCTTTTTTTTCCTTCTTTCTTTCTTTTCTCGTTCATTCTTGATGAAAATCGAAAAGGCGCATCGGTATGACGTTCCCGTTCCTTTAACTCGCAGGAGATCAGACAGGCGGCCGAGTTTCTCGAGCTACCGCAGTTACTCATGGTGCTCGGCAGCATACAGACGCGGGAGCAGTTTGTCAATAACGATCTCAATAATCGGTACAAGCAAGTGGTTAGACAACGACTGGAGGACATTTGCCTAGAGCAAGGTTGGTATCGATCAATGAGCGATGAAGCAATTATTGCCTTCAATGTAAATATGCTTAGGTCTTTTCGCCGATGTGATGTTCGAGTTGGACGATGGCAGCGTACCGGCTCACAAAGCGATTCTCACTGCCCGATGCGACGTGATGAAAGCCATGTTCTCTGGCGATTTTCGCGAAAGTAGTGCAAAAGTCGTAAGTGTATGCGTAATATTAAACTCAACGTTTTAATTTGTGGAATCGATACGAGTTACGCGTTTACATTTTTTTACATTAATAATTCACTCTCTAATAAATGATAAAGTTTTAACAAACTCTGTCAATTTATAAACGTAAATCGGCTATGGTGTTATGGGTAACGAATAATTGTAACAGATCCTTGCGATTGCAATCGACAGATAGTCTTTCCTGGAGTACGGGAGTACACATTCCACAAGTTGCTGTGCTACCTTTATACGGACGAAGTGCCAGCAATCTCCTCGGCAAGATGCCTGAACCTATTGGAACTAGCCAACAGACTCTGCCTTCAACGATTGGTGAATCTAGTCGAGAGCAGGGTGATCGAGGATCTTGATCGCCTTTCGCAAAACGAGGGGAACGACGCCGTCGAAAACTGTCTGAGGTTGCTGGAACCGTGCAAGGTCGGTTTCCTTCGCGCGTTCACATCAATTAAAACGCGATAATTTAGCGATTACCTATGTTTAACGCTTGGTTACGACTTTGCAGCTGCATAATGCCGATCAGCTGGCCGACTGGTGCATGAATCATCTCTGCGTTAACTATAATAAGCTGTGCAAAATGTCGCCTCGCAGCGTGCGGTTGCTTCATCCTGAGAACCAAGAGTATCTGAACGAGCACCGATGGCCGCCGGTTTGGTACGTATTACAAAAATGTTATTTTTCCATCAATTTCATTTCAATCGACATAATTAGTTTTCATTTGAGAGAATTTATCTCATCATAATAATATTCAAATTTTTTCGATTATAGCAACATTTTCTTTCTGTAATACAGAGAGAAAAATGATGCTGTACGTTCAGATCTAGAACATATTATATATTTTTCATTATGATATATATTATATAAGATCGCTCTCGTTTAGTTCCCGACTGATTACGATGTGTCCTCGTTAGGTACTTGAAGGATTACGATTATTATCAGAAGTGTCTGGCGGAGCAGGATCGCGAGAACAAGCCGACGTTGAAACGGAATCGTAACCAGTCCGGCTGTCTGTGTTTCTCGGGCTCGAGCAAGACCAGACGGGAAGGTAGCACCGGAAACGGAGGTGGCGGCGGCACAACGTCGACGACGTCGAACGAGACGCCGGCAGATCGGCCGCTCTTCGACGCCTCTACCGAATCCGGCGAACAGGCCGTATGACAGGAGCCAAGCGGCCTCAGCCGCTCAGTCAGATTCATCTTGGTCCTACCTGTGCTCATGGTCTTCATATGCACTATTTTTACCATTTTGATACTGCTACAGATTTATACTTAAGCCGCGCAGGACGAAGCTATGCGTAAAATATACATATATGTATATATATGTATATATATATACACATACACACACACATACACATACGCGATGCTACGTACGTATGAATAAATACGAGAATACACACAGATACACATATACGTCGATGATCAGCGATAAAAGCCGATCCAGGGTTAATTCGAGATGTATTCGATTCTTAGCCCGAGAGATCGAGTTCCAAAAATTCCCCTACGTACGAAATTTCTTTTTCTTCTAACGTTGTGCACCCCCATTTTTCGCGCCGTGTATTTTTAAAAGCGCGGTGCCGATGACTCGGATTCTCGCGAGTGTCCGTGAATTTTTTCGTACTTGCGGACTTTTGCGATGCAGCTCATACTTTTACCTTCCGCAAGCGACAAACGAGAACAGTATTTTTCGAGGGGAGATTTCCTACTTTCTATACGCGTTGATACTTCGATGTGTATACATTCAGAGACAAGATTGTGTGGATGCTGATACGAATAAAGATCAGATCACTCTTTCTTCGTTTAATTCGTACTTTCTCTTATAAAAACGACGATTGTTGATACGAATAAACATATCCATAAACAATCGTTTCACGTATGTACAAATATGTCTCAACATTTCGAAAAAATGGCAATCTATAAGAAATAGAAAAGCAAAACTGAAGTAGATAATGTATTATTTTTTATCACATATAAAAAAATACAATGATAATTCCTTCAACTGCTCTTATTCAATTTTAGTCATATTTTCAAAGATATTTTCATGTGAAAAGCATGAAATCATATCAAGACACTAGATGATGTGATGTATGTGAAGAATAAGAAGAATGGATAAAAAAAGACTAGCTAAAATAATATAGGGTTATTTAGAGTTCTCGAAACATGTATGTGAAAAATTTGTACGTGCGTACGTTTATCGAGGCGCAACACCTTGCCATCTCTATAAAATAGGATTGTCGATTATAAAAATCAAGAAATTATAGTAGGTTCGAGTGTCCACTCATCGTTGTCCCTGATTGTATGTTGCCAACAGCGACTTTCATCGATACATAACACACTTGCATCGCGCGAATGTCGCCGCCTTCGCCGATGCAATATCAATTTGACGAAGATCAATTAGTCGTATGTTGCATCGCCGCGATTAGCATCGATCACGGCATGATTGTCGTCTCGGTATGATTTCGGTGTGTTCTCTCGACGGACTAACGATTATTGCGACAATCATCCGCGATCTGCCGTTTGACAATTTGTGGTAATTATACGATTTCGTGTCTAATTTCGCAAAGAGGACGTGGAGCAATGAGCGGGAGCCCTGAATACTGAGCTTGTGATACGAAAACGCGAATATAGAAGAGGAAAAAGAAAATGACATGTAACATTGTCCTCCTGTCGATGCGTGTTAGACTGAAAAAACGAGCAATAGCTTTAGTTCGTAGTAAAGCTAATAAGCGCTATTGTGAAATGTAGCGAATCAGTCTGCCAAAGTCAATCACTTTTCTTAATCTGCTTTCAATGGATAGAGAGTTTTTGACAGAGACAAACTGGCGCTACATGGCGCAGTTAATGGCAATTGGCCAAGTTGCTGTCTTGCGTCGTTTTAATTAAAGCAAACGAGACGTGATAAACTTTGGAAAGATTGAGCAATTTTACGCTATTTTACGGTATAACGGTGTTGGGCATTTACGGATATACTTAGATAAACAACACTATGATTATAGTTATTGACCACTTGAGAGAAATATTTATTCCTAATTATGAAATAATCAATAGAAGGTCTTGTCAATAATTATATTTGATTATGTATGATAAACACAAAATTTTAATTTTGTTTACAACGACTTTCATATATAGACAATGTAAAACATAAGCAAGAAATTTGTAAAATTTAAAATAAAAGCTATTGGTCACTTTTAAAAATCTATCATATAAAAGAATCTGCGACACTTTATATAAAAAGAAAAAATATACCGCAAATATTGAAGGTAAATAAAAACTCGCGCTAAATGAAAATTCACAAATGCAAGTGATCAATAATCGCAGTAATTATAGTGGTCAGTAATTACTGTATACATAGAATACTAAAACTGTCACCTTATAATTGTGTAGCACAATTTTAAATTACTGTAAAAAAGTATGAGTTGTTTTTCACATTTAAATACAATCTAAAAGCCATTGTGAAATTATCTAGAAGACGCCTTGATCTGTATCAGACGTCTTTTAAATGTCTTTTATAAACATGTCTTTCGGATATTTATGTTGTTCGAGAGATAGCTTAATTACACATAAAGTGATAGTTTAGATATTCTACGTCATTAATATCGTTTACTCCAAGACGCCCAAGACTGGTACATAGTCGTTTAAAAGATATGAAGATATAAGGGTATATCGTGCCATGTAAAAGTTCGAATTTGTATTCTTTACGCTAACAATACGCGGCGATAAGTTTCGCTTCTCCTTCGTCCCATCCGTACAATCTGCAATAAATAAAGTTGCTATTTTTTTCATACAAAAATTTTCTTGCGCCACGAGACGGCTTACAATTGCACGCATCAGATCGCGTTTAATAATCGTCCATTTTCGCGAAGGGAGGAAATTAATCGCAGCATTAAATATCGCGGCAGCCGCATCAACATATCGATTATGATAATGAATCATTGCTGCGATGACGATACCATCATTGTCACCGCGGCAGTGATTTATCATAGATAGAGAGAAACGATTGTTTGTAACGGGAAAGATGTAATGTACCTAGTATTAGGATCTAGATAAGGCAAAGCTTCCTATTTTTTGCCCACGAGAAACATCATCGCGTTTCGGCCGGGACAAAAAAGATTATTTCTCCAAAAGATTTATTTTGTAATTTATCTTAGATCTGCACACAATTATTTATTTTACAACACTATTGTAATATGGAATTTTTCGCTTAAGTAATGTATAATGTATTTCAACAATGTTGATTCTGATATAAATCTTATGTGCGGGCCATGCATTTGAGCGGCAAGTAAAAAAAAAAAAAAAAAAAAAAAAAAAAAAAAAAGAAAATTGAATTTCTTTGCAAGTACGTTTTATAAAGATGATTTTTGCATATATAAAGAAATGTAATTTTACATTACATCGGCCCGGCTGTGACGCTCGCGCGATTGGATTAGCATAATATTGATATTAATATTGATAATACGATATTAAAAATAGACTTAACATGTAATCGATAATCTAATCAGTGTTAAGAGATATTACCGTTAATAATTTGATACTCGTTAGCTCCGATATCATCCGCATAATCATCCTTGTACTTCTCAATCGATTCGCCCATACTCGCAACCGTGAAAAAACTTATATTGCAAAAAGAGAAATGGTGAGAAAAAGCGAGATAAACACAAGGATTAAAAGTGCGAATATGGGACGGAGAACGAACGGGAAAAGTGCAATGCACACGGATGAATTGACGTCCATATAGTATGTTTACACATTTGTATCACGAAACAATTGCGTATGGACAATTAAAAACGAAAAATTAATCGTTTTCTTTAAATTAATTTTTTTTTTTTAATTGAGATTCAAAATAAGAATTTCTTTTTTTTTTTTATTCGATTCATTTTAAACCATCTATTTTTTATTTTTTTGCATAGAAGTCGCAATGAATTTTTCGTCACTGATACACACAATCATAACAAATCGCGCTACTGCCCGATCTATAATGGAATTATGTTTAAGTGAGGAGAGAAAAAGAGAGAGAGAGAGAGAGAGAGAGAGAGAGAGAGAGAGAGAGAGAGAGAGAAAGAGGAAAGAAAGAGCACTCGAATATAATAACTGGACACAGTGATACGGTGTACGTCTGTTCCGGCAAGGATAAGAATAACGTCCCACTTGTACGCTACGTCAATTTCGATGTCAATGTTCTCCTTCGTCGCTCATGTATATATGATATATTTAGTCCTAAGTGTATATTTTATACTGAAATATTGGTAAAAGTAGAATTAAGCGCTCGATCATATTGATAGATCGACAAACCAAAGGATTCATGCGCGCATTTTCCTCGCATTTGCGTTCCTGAGTAAGAATGAGAGAAAATAAACGAGGAAAGAGAGTAAAAAGAAATGTATTTCTTCGACATTATCGGAGAGCAATAAGGCCAGATAAAATAATATAATAAATCGCGTTTCATATTTAGTATTTTATTTTAATTATTTTTCGTTGACTCTCTTTCCCCTTTAATATTGCTTCAATAACGTCATGGACGTGTGTTTCGATGAAAGAAATGTAACGGGACATTAAAAGAACAAATAGCAATCCAAAAAATGAGTGAAGTCCACTTATATGCGTAAAGTGGTCCGTCTGCATTGGATCTAGGAACTGGCGTCAAACTTTTTAAGTTTCGTTCAAACAAGAATGTCAACTTATACCTCTGTCTTGTTTAAATTCTTTTTATTTTTCACAAGATGATTTAGATTAAATTCAAATTAAAAGTTACGTTACTTTAGAAAATTAACAGATGCAAATTTTTGTTAATTTCTAGATACACTAAAATGCTATTCAATAAAATTATGGCTATATTAAGACAATTTTTCATCACTGAAATAAATCTTCGTCAAAAAGATATCGACGAATCTCTCTCGATAAGATTTATCAAAGAGATGTGACTGCAAGAAACACATTATGTATTTTTAATGTCTGATATAAGATTTCGTTTATACATATTTATCTATTTTTATTAAACTTTAGTTATATATTCATTCGTTGCTGGAAAAATATTCGCGACATCGTGCTTTTGTACGGTTAAAAAAAAACTTAAAATTCATTGTAATTCAATCGAAGATAGGGAACAAGGCTTCTTGATCTAACAACAAAAATTCCATTCGCTATATAAACTATTCTAGATTATAATTACAAAGGTATCATAAGCTTGTTTGTATCTAAAAATTACACGATATATGTTTTCTTATTTTTTATTTTAATGATTTCGATATTATGCGATGTTCGGCAAGATTGATGCAGGAAAAATTTTGCTGCATCTTTTTCAGAAAAATTAATTTCTTTTAAATATATAATTTTTTTTTTATGAAATAGATATACATATACAAAGTCGACATCAAAAATAATTTAACATAACAAGAAAGATATTTAGTTGCCTGGACAAATGAACCTAATGATTATAAAGATAAATCTAACGTCTTGAATTATTTTAATATTATAAAAGTGTTTCAAAAATATTTTTAAAAAATACAAATATTGAAGCTTATCTATTTTTCATCAAAAATTGTTTACTAAAATGCTGCTTAAAACTTGAGCGATTCAGGAATGTAAAATAGGTAGAGAAGTGCTCTATATGACATATCTGCACTTCGAGTTTTGTTCCGCGAATTCTTTTTTCTGCAACTATTTTCCGTATCTTCTTCTTTTTTACCGTTTCAGTTGTAATTAACTCGCAATTTTGCAGATTGTGTTCTGTGATCATGCATGCTACTTTGCATTCACGATTGATCACGCACGTTTCAATGCGTCTGAGAAGAAACACACGTTTTTATAGCTGTCGATATGTAACGAGAATAAATAACGCGCGTTAGCTATTAAATAAGACTTATCCTGTAACCGCATAAGAGAGAATTTTAGTCCAATGGTATTTTAAGAAAATCAGAACGCAAGACGAAGACGCAGAGAACATAATTCAAAAAGGATCGGCTGACAATCCACAATTAATTTCGCACTTCCCTAATTGACCGAACCGATCACAACGACTTGTGTTTCGGTTCAATTTGTGCGCGCAAATGCGAATCGTCGTTCTACACTCATCTATCTTGAGAGAAGAGTGATATAGTATTCACGACATATAATACATGCATACATACATATATATACACACGCATATATATATACATACATACATATATATACATATATATGTATGTATATACATATGTATAATACAACGCACTATTTTTGCGTATGGGCATATAAATATCTAGCAAATACGACTGTGTTATTTGTACGAATAATCTCATTCAAGAAGCACAGGATATTCTTTCGCATCATTCATAAATAAACAGATTTCTTTACAATATGCCAACTAATTAAGAGTGCTTTTTACCAGACACACTTTTAATAGTTTTAATTATCTCAATCAGGTCTGTAAATCAAAAATAAGGTCCAAAGGACACACGCGTAACGTGTCTGAACACGATAGTACTCGACCAAAGCCGCAACGGAAGTATGGTGTAAGCATAGACATAGTATATCTAGACCATGGTGTAAGTAACAAGGTGTGCTACTGCGCAGCATTCAGGCCCACACGGCCAAGTCGATGAATATAAATAGCGCTAATGTTGTAGAGATCAAGTTGTGGGTTAGTATCAGAAATTTTATTTAGATGAAAGTTACTGATAGGATGCTACAGAAAGAATTCCTCTTTAGAAGAGGAGAATAGAATTCAAAAATAAGGTCCAAAGCACACACGCGTAACGTGTCTGAACACGAGAGTACTCGACCAAAGCCGCAACGGAAGTATGGTGTGAGCATAGACATAGTATATCTAGACCATGGTGTAAGTAACAAGGTGTGCTACTGCGCAGCATTTCTACTGACCAATAAGAGAGCGTGACAAGATTCCGCCATCTTGTATAATTTAAATGGATATTAAAACGAAGATTCGGGCAAGAAAGGGTTTTAATGAAAGATCTTTCGTGTGTAATTATAATTATGATGAATATATTTTCAGAAAATAATAAATGCAAACACATAAATATAAATAAACAAATATAAGGTACATAAACACATATAAGAAACAATAAACATATAATAAACAATAAACGATAGAGAATACATAACAGATAATAAACAATATAGAAGATATAATAAAAATGAAATTATTTTTTATTTTTGAATTTTTTTTTTTTTTATTGCGTTCACAAAACTCACAAAACTGCTGCAAAACTGTGCATAACCTGTGTATCATGATTCATGACACTATTTCGTTCACATTTAGGGTGTGTTCCGTTGCACGCATTGAGCGCATAGATCGCCTTGAAATCTATAATATATGTTACGTGAACTATAGATTTCCAGGCGATCTATGCGCTCAATGCGTGAAACGGAACGCACAACGCACCCCTATTATGTTACATTTTCTGTATTTAATGTGAGAAAGTTTTAAAGAGAAAAACAAGATTGAAAAAAAATATAGAAAATGTACATAGTTGAAAAAAGAACACCTGTGTAGCATCTAGGGCTAATCATAATCAGTTCGACAATCAATTCAGTTATATTATTGTGTATACTATTTTTATTACACATAAAAAATGTATAGCAATAGAACTTGACTAACGTACGATGGTTGAAATCATTAAATCTTCGTGACAATCGTTAGTCCACATGTTAAGCGTGCGATTTAATAATATATTTGTGTCATTAAATAAAAAGAAAATTTGGGACTGCGAATAAAAAGAAAATGCTTTTGAATTTTTGTGATTCTCGCTTACGTCCAGAAATAAAATGCAGTACTATCAGCACGGAAGGATACGAAGTGACCAATTTGATAAGCAATTCTTGCAAAGGATTTTTGGCATATTCCTGCATTAAACCGCCAGTTCACATAGACATCACATTTCTTTGTAACATCAGGATAAATCATATATTGATTTGGCCATCCGTTGGATCGCAAAAATCATTGGGCTTTCAGCTTTACTGTAAAAGTACAAATGATTTCAATACCCCATATACCTTATTATCCAATGGATTTTTGAGCCCCTGTGATGCTGGACTATTGTTTTATCCAAATGATATCGATCCTGCAAAAATCGTCACACCAGCAAATTTCTTAAAACGTTATATTAAAGTCTCGATGCGACATTTGACTATGTATGCTCATGTTTTAAGACTAACAATATGTAAAACGGAAAAGTCAGTACCAGCATTAGGAAAGATTGAAGTTTGGGGAACAGTATCACCTCGTTGTGGGAAAGATGTTGTCGCAAGTATATATACTTTATGGACTAAACAGCAAGCCACATTGGCATTACCCATAACTGAATGCAAAACTGGCACTACCTCTATAAATATCACTGGCAACAGGTTTGCATATATTTACATATAATATATTATATATATCTCTTTTGTATTGTTGATTAATAAAATATTTTTCATATATATCCAGACAAGAAGATAATGCAAAGCTTGAGGTTCCTGAGAGTTTCTTAGATCCCATTACATGGGAGTTAATGACTCAGCCAATTACATTACCTAGTGGCAAAGTAATAGATCAGACCACATTAGAAAAGCATGGACAGAATGAAGCAATCTGGGGAAGACCATTATCGGATCCATTTACTGCCATTGTATTTAACGAGCATCGTAAACCAATTATGGCAACTGCATTGAAGTCGAGGATTGATAAATTTCTGTTAGATCATAGTAATTTGAATGAAATAAAGAGTATACCAAGAGTCTTAGGTCATGATTCAACTTCAGCTATAGCAGGAGATAGAAGGATAACTCAAGTACCAAAGTGTGTGCTAAACAAAAACTTGTTAAAAAGGACTGTCAAAGATGCTAAATTAGATGCATGCAAGCAAACGATGGATGGTTATTCACAGCAAACAAAGAGATATTGCCATCAACTGCCAGCAGTTGTTGTATGTTCCAAACAATCTGCCAATGCAAGATCAAAACAAGCGACAAAGATTTCAAATTCCTCTAAATTAGTTCATAATAATTCTCATAATCATAATAGGGATGATAAATCAGAAAGATTGGTAGTGGCTAACATTGACAATTCCTTAGATGGCAATATAAAAACTCTATTGTCAAATATTAAACGCTTCAGTGAACCAGAAAAAGTGGAGTTACATAATATATCTAGTGATTGTAAATGTTGTAATAATAGTATTCTTTATAAGCTTCCCTGTAAACATGTAATATGTAGAAAAGTATTATTATCTATCAATGTAAATAGTCGGTGTAAATCTTGTGGACTTTTTTATAAATTGAGCGACATTGAACGAATTCATGACAGTATTTTAAATAGATAGCAGTAAGATTATAAAATATTATAAATATATATTATATTACCAGTAAGAAAATATTTCAATTCTTACTGATATAACTTGAGCTCCTTCACATTTATTATTTGCCAAATTTTATCCATATAAGGAGAATATGCAAAATATATTATTGTAACTTCCTGAATCATTAGAGATCAATGTTACATCATTCATGACAATTCCAATATGACCAATTCCGATAATAAGATTGCTCGCATTTTGGCACATACAATATAGTTTACATTCACATGTAAAGTCGACAATTACATATGTAAATAATGTTTATAAAAACTTGTTTCTCTATCTCCATACATATGGTATATTATAACTTATAAATAAATTTATACATGTGCTTTTTTTAATTTGTACGTTTCTGTATGCATTAATAAGTAACGCGTTATTGTAAATATTTTATACACAATTTATATAGCTCGTATAAATTTATAATAAATTTTCTATATAAATTCGTAAAATAAACGTTTTTTATATAAAACGATTATAAAGCGTCCATTATGCAATATATTTTAATAAAAATTAGAAATATGGCTATTCTCAAATATAATGATTTTGGAATATTAATTGTTTACTTGGACATTTGGACATTTCTTTCTCTTTATAATGTTTTTACTTTACAATTTCTCGAAACACATAAAATTTTCTCAAAAATATATACTGATATAGGTTTCAATACCCAAAGAAAATATTTTGAATGCATTTGATTCGCGCGCGCGCGCGGCATACAGAATTATTTGGAATATTTTTTCTCAGGCATTGTGATTAATAGTAAATGTTTGGAAATTCATTTCATTATAATACAGCGAAACCAGAACCCTGATTTTGTCGCTTGGCAATGTTGAACAACGATAGTAAATAATTACGGGTATCTGGACAAACATAAAACGTAAGTGTATGTTCTGGATGTGGAGACATTTTCTCAAAGGTATCGGACTGTCTGTCGCTATTGGTTGATACGCTGGCCAAGCCAGTGCTGCTTGTCCGCACGTACTCTTCAACTCGCGCTCTCATTTCTTGATTCATCTAAAATTCATGTTTATAAATGTTTTTACGTTTTTAAATTCGCATGATTTGATTATAAGTTCATAAAATCAGACTTATTTTACCTCGTGTTCGACTGGCGATAAAGGTCTGCTCGATTGTGTTGCAGCCGGTGGACAGTACAAGCACAACATGGTTGATTCCGCGATATGATCAACGCTCGTCAATTCTCTTAATGAGAATATTCGTTCTACGCTGTCCTCTGCCATGTTAACAAGTAATAGAGCTTGTCGTGTAAGAACGAGTGTCACCGCGCGATTACTGCCCTGGTGAATGACGTAATCTGCGCTAGTCACATGAAGGATATTGTCGTGACTGTGATCGAGTAAGGGTGACAAACGCCAGGTGTATCGCACAGACGTGCTATTATTGCCAGTAGTATATTGCACGATTGGTCTCTGACGTGGCTGTTAGAAAACAAAAACGGACAATGATCAGATCATGGCAAATCGCAGAAAAATGAGTTTTCATTATTTGAATTTTACCGTAGGCAAGGAATTCCATCCAGCTCCCTGTAATAATCCTTGACCCGTGAGAGCGACCAATTCCGCGGCACCACTCAGTGGCTTAGTCACGACGCCGACTAGACCGAGTCCGACTCCGGTGACTAAACTCTTGGTCGTCGCCTCGCCTGACCACATTTGCTGCAGAGGATGATGCGCCAAGCCAGCCACAGCCGCTGATTAACAATCAACAATTAACGATTATCTACATATGAGAAAGATATTTAAAAACAAAAAAGAAAGAAATGACTACCGAGTAGACTCATTCCGAGACCAGTTAAACCCTGGTAAAGTCCTTGCGCCATGCCTTGAGGACGCATTCTGCGCGATTCTTCTTGTCGCTGAAGATGTTCCTCGTCCAACGTTAAACGATCCAAGTTTCGCGCGACGCTAGACGCTAGTTTTGTTACGGAATTCACAGTACCTACGAGAAGAGGAGCAAGACGGTTAATTATATTTATCTTCAAGTACTCTTGGAATAATGAAAAAAGAAAATAATAATTTCTATACCCGCTGTAACGTGTTTCATCAGACTGGCTGATCCGTGCGTAATTCCAACGATGAAACCCCACGGGCCTTGTAACAATCCTTGAAACGGTAGTGAAACGAAGTCTCTGAGACCGGATCCGAGTGCTTGTGCCAAACCTCCTGGTGATCCGAGTATTTCTAACGATCCGACCACCCAACCTGACGCATCAAACTTCGTTATTTACCTCATTGTTATATAAAAAAATATAAGTGTATTTTGCGTATATATGTATTGCCGACCTGCTCCAAATATAGCGCCGGACAAGTAATGCATGGTAAGCGCATTGCCAAGCCTGTAAGGTGTGGTCAGTAGATTCTTCCTCTCGAAGATACCGAAGTACAATGGGGAATGATCCAGAGCGACGTACAATCGTACAGAGGTGTGAACGCTCAATAAAATGGATAACGGTTCTATCACAAAGTTTTGCAATCTCAATGGCTTACTCAAGATTTTCGAGTCGATCATGATGTAGTCCGGTATGTATACTGCATTCGAAATAGCTATTGTTTGAATCCGCTTAGGACTGTCGTTCAATACCAAACGTGGTGGTATCATCGAAGTTGCGTAATCTAATAATTGCGTTATGTATGTGTCCTCGATATATGCGCTAATGGGCGCGATTCTCATGCGATATTCCTTCGATGCTGCAACGGAAATATATATCATTACACATGTGAACTGAACATTTATTTGCTTAAAACATTATTGACTATAAGTATATACATATTTCTTTTCTCAATAGATATATATCTTGTCATAAGATACATACCTATCATATTTCCGTTTACTTCCCAGACGTACTCGACAGCTATTAAAGAATCATGTTTGATTTTCTCCATATTCGTCATTAAACAATTATTGCTGTAAAACGCCATCTCCCTGTTGGGCAATGGATTCTGATTTATCAATACTACAGGAAAGTCGAAACCTCCCTGATCAAATAATTGATTATCCAACTGCAAGTCGCCTATGTAGCAATGTAGATTGATAAATCTGGCCTTAGAATTTACGGTGACAACCAAATCCGTCATAGATAGACTCGCGACTTCGATTCTTTGCGTATTTTCATTGATGTCGTGAAGAATGGCGATAGTACACGCACGCAGATAAACTGTTACAGAGCCTTCTTTAGAATTCGTCGAAGTGGCATCGCTGGAAGATCTCGATTGATTTTCATCAGTGGGAATTTTGTCTGTCGTTTTCGGAATCAATTGCTTCGACAACGATGACGTGACAACCATCGATTCCATCGGCAAGGTGTCTTCTTGGGCCGAGAAAAAGCTTGTTAACGATGTTGAGCTACTTGAACTCTGTACATACTGCAATAGTTTATCCTCTTCTGATCTTTTCAATGGAATCGGCGCGATTGTATCGTGATCCTTTGCCGTATTCTTCTTCCGCAGTAATCTACTTCTAATGTCTTGAGCGGATATTTCAATCTGGGAGATAGGCACGATGCTGATATGAGTGGTGTAACAGCAGTTCTGCATTATAAGCTTTACGTCGCCGTACGAAGGCAATCGCAGATACTGGTCCATCGGCGTAGACGACAATGCGGATAGATTCACGCCTCTCGACCATTTTAGACTTGTCTTTTCTGTCACCTGATCGTTTTGCACAGTGGAAAATAATAGCACGTTCGACGCGCTTGGAACGACAGTATCGGGTAGCCTATTACTGACGCAAGGAAGGGAATAGTGAAATGTTGCTCCGCTATCAACTTCGCACATCCACGTAAAATGGACGCTATCCGGTAATATCTCGTTTCCTCTTTCATCGGCTTGTCCCAGCAGGATCTTAAAGCCGCAAGCATTCTCGATTAACAATTGCGGATGATCATCACTGTGTATCACGACGAACGTGGTACCTTTATCTTCTTGCGTTGTCACGATAACCGGCATGGTCGAAGAACCGTTTGGAATTGCGACGGATTTGCGGCTCATCGCTTGGTCTACTCTGATCGGACAGGACCATCTATGACCGAGGCTGAAAGATACATACAATACAAGCGGCTCGACATTGCTTTCCGTATACAGCGTGTACCATTGTACGATTGGTGTACCCTGCCTTTGATCCTCGGACGGCGAGACGTTCAGGCTGCAAGGGGTGAGATCGTGCGGCAGCTGCAGGTTTCTCGCTTCCTCGTGCACCGCGAGCGTGGCCACGCACAATTCCTGAGATGTCAAATTGGCGATCACGTGGCTACTCGTGATTCGCACCAGACGCATGTCTTCGTGCATAGAGGAACCGATGCTTAAGATAGATATGCTGGTGCCACAGTCCACGGACGTCTTGATGTTTCCGTCCACCGGTATGATGCCATTAATTCGCGGCATGTAGAAGCTCTGGCTCCAATCGGGTCGTGCCAGCTGCAACGTTTGCGACGTGTAATAAGTATCGCCGATTCCGACGCCCACATGAAAGGTGCCTTCCAACTTGGGCGGCGTGACTATGCCGTAGTGAGGGATCTGGCACAACTCTGTATCCTCCGATACCAGCGAGATATGGCAGCCTAGCGAATTCATTACGAAGCACCAAGGCTGCAGTTCCAACAACAAAGTACTAGAGACCAGTCCTGCGTCTTGATACTTCACCTGTACGTGTGTCTGCGGCTGCTCCGCAGATATCCATTCCTCCCCCGTGTCGTCCCCTTGAAAAGGCCATTTCGCATCGTCCTTTCGGTCTTTGAGATCTCGCAGAATTTTGTCGATGTCCTCGACGTCGGATCTTCTGAAGAACTTTCTCTGATCCACCGAACTATACGAAAGCGGTACATAAGGATTCGACGCGGAGACACCGGACTCCAGTTGAAACGTCAGTTGATGAAAGTGCTCGAATGTACCGGGACAGTATAGTTGCTGACACTCGCCGCGACCGTTCACTACTGTGCTCGACGACATCTTCAAGGACGGAGTTTCCATCTGGACTCTAACCGGCACTGGTAAATGCGATCTGATCATGTAAAGCGGACTCAATACCGCGAGGATCTTCACCTTGTCCTGTATCGTCTGCGTTACAATCCGTACCCAGATACTAAAAAATTGACCGCGTTCTTGGAGCGGTACTTTTACAAGCCAGGGCTGGCCCCATTTGACATTTGGTTGAAGAGGAATGTCGCCGGTCCAGGATAAGTGCGTCAAATTGGTAAAACGTAGCCGCATAGCCATTTTTCTGTCATTTTCAAGCATAATAGATGACGGAAAGCTCTTACCCGGTACGGGATACACCTCCTTCGAGACTGTTACCTTAGAGCCGACATCTGCTTCGTACTTTACCAATTTCATCTCAAAATTATCCTTCAATTGATTGGAAATTACAAGCTGCCCCGAGAACGTTACGAGTTTCTGCGTAGCGGAAAGCGACGTTACATTCACGAAAATCACCGTGCCGCCGGTCATCGAATTATTGAATTCTATCACGTGAATTCCATCCTTGTTGACCGGAAAGGACCGGCTCCACACCCAGGCGTTCTCTTCGATTGATATCCGTATCATTTGATTGCCAATCTGTCGCCACGAGTAGAAGTTACACTGCCTGCTCTCGAGAAGTATACTGTCGCCAGTGCCACTTTGACCGAAACGGATAGCTACATTGCTATCGTTCGCAATTACATAACGCGTCAGGACAATCACACTTTTCTCCTCCTCATCGAAAGACGCCAGCCATAGACGGGTGGAGACCGCAAGAGTGTGAGTGATCGCCGGACCCAATTTCAATGTAAACGGGTTGCTCGTTAACGACACGTCTATCTTGTCCGATAACGACAACTGTAATCTTCCTTCCAGGGAATCCAGCACCTCCTGCATGGTCAAATGACTGTAATCTAACACGTGCACGCTCAAAGTACCGCCGATATCGAGCAGTGTGGAGTCGTCTACCCATTTGTTAAGCACTAGAATAGCCCCCTTTTTTTCCACAGACATAAAACATTGTATCTCGGGGATCCTTCCGTTCAACGTGTACCTATCCAGCGGTGGCGGCAGATTATTGTACACAGTAGTATCGATATGATTGTACAGAGACATGTGAAGCACGCCGATATTTAAGGCGATCTGCACGTTTGGTATTAACAGAGGATTAAAGTAGGAATCGATGCGCAAGCAGGCCGCGAGAGCACGCGCGGAAACGATGCTTTTCGAGAGTGACCGCTTGTTGCTGGACGAAATGACCACGCGCCACACGCAGGCCACCGCACGTGCCGGTGCCCTTTCTGGTAAATCCAATCGATAAGAATCCGTTTCCGATAAGTAAAAATCTGCGTAACGTTGATACGACATGTGACTGTCGCTCCAATATTCGAGGATGCAAGAAATTCTGTCGATATAATTGCCATCGGCGTCCATTGTCTGTAACGAATCGTTTTTGTCTTCAAGGCAACATTGATTTTTTTAATTTTAAGGTAATGAATTGTTTCAGTACTTACTTCAAATGGAACAGGAGATATATGTATTCTCGTTAATGTGCGTGGTTGCGGATATCTCCAAGCCATCGCTTGTTGAGGATAAGCAAAGAATACTACCTGTAAGAAAACAATAAATCAAGCGCATTCTTTTATTTTTATTTAATTTGGTATAATCGCGTTAACTAACTTGGTATGGAAAAGGTAATTCGTCCGCAGTGCCATCGACAAATTGGAATGCACCAGCTTTTAAATCATCCTTGTAATGTTGTTCAGTCGATAATACAATTTGCTTCTCATTTTTACTCTCGTTTGTAGAGAACGAGGCAAATTCGCTTAAGAGCAACTGGCAATCTTGCATGACCATTTTTATAATTTTTATCTGATCAGGTCCAAAATCAAGATATAGACTTTCACTGTCTGCCTGTATCTGTATCTGCGGAATGACTTCGCTGTTGTATGAAGATTCCCAAACTAAGCAAGTTGTTATGTTGCAACACCATGGATTTAATAACACTTTGATATTTCCGTTTAGGATAGCAGATATAATAAAAGAATCTATGGATAAGTTTGAATAGATCCTATCTGGTCTCACAAGTGTTGACAGATTCCCATTTAATGATGCTAAACTAATAATGATTTCTGCTCCGGTGTCAGTCTTTAAAGATAATACGATTTGTTTTGTGTTTAGATGTAGATCAGGTACACTGAATTTTCTCGATTTTGTCGATCCTGCGAGATTTTGAAGGTCCGCAGCGCCCTTTTCCTTTGCTGGTACTTGTGTAGCATCACCATCCATAAAACACAATAGTACCTGAAATGCATGTAAAATAGGGTTGTCGCAAATGTATGCATATACGTATTTTTTCTTTTTCATAAAATACCTTATTCCGTATATTATAAAGCTGGTTGAGCCGAGATAAAGAAAGATGTATTTTCGTCGGTCGTCCCATTTCGATAAAAAATTGTCGATTTTTGCCTAGAATCATCTCAGATTTTATTGTAGCAAAAGAAGGTGGGATACCCGTGTCTCGATGTGAATCTCCATGCTTCGTTTCTATCATAAAAATTTTGAAATCCTTTTCAGTCGGTATCGTGTTCAGATTTTGGGCATCGCCAAGTGCCGTTGTTATATCAAAACAGGATATCTAAATCGGATAATATTAATAATATTAATTAAAGCAAGATATGTATATTCAAGCAGTTAAGCATTACAAATAACATATTAATTTTTTTTTTTTTTTGAAACTACATATTAAAAAATGCATACT